GGTGAGGCAAAGACATAAAGTGTAACCATAATGTTTGTGCCCTCATAATATCCTGAAGTAAAAAAAAAAAGTTTATTGATACATAATTATCGTACATATTTATGGGGTGCATATGATGTTTTGATACATTTTTATATTTTCCACTTATCTCTAGACTTAGAAATTGGCAGCTGTGGCTTGAGAATATAAATTTCTAATTACCCTTTCAAAGGAAATACTCAATTCTTAAAAATAAGAAAAATATAATAAATAAATTTTCTTTTATTAAATTCTTAACATTAATTAGTACTATAAAATTATAAGTTTTAGATAAAACTCAAAAAGTTAGGAATGTTTTTTAAAAAACATAAGACTATTATTGCAACACAAGATATCCAAATGTATTTACTTCTTTTTCCACTTAGACACAAGGAAAATTTCAGGATTTTCAAAGAATGATTTTTTGGATAATAATGTTACAGAAATTATAACAGATATAATGAAAAATAAATAAGAAGAGTATAATAGACATACTGAAAGCATTCTAAATTTCTGTAAACAGTACATTCTGTCATAAATTTACTGCTTTAAAAAAATTGAGAAAACATAACAACATACAAGCATACACTCCATTAGTCATCAAAATGATGATATCATCTCATGTCAAGTAGCCTCTGGAGAATTCTGCTGATGCATGTGAAAGAATAAGAGTGAAAGGGGAAAATTACAACTTATGGAAATAGCTTTGACATTGAAGACCCCATGAAAGGGTCTTGGAAATCTCTGGGCTTCTGCACCACACTTTGAAAACTCCTGCTGTGTGTTTGTTATTCTACATGTGCTCTCAATTTTTTTTTTTTTCTTTTAGAGACAGGGTCTCGCTCTATTGCCCAGGATGAAGTGCAGCAGCCTGATCATAGCTTACTGTAACCTCTAACTTCTAGGCTCAATTGATCCTCCTGCCTCAGCCTCCCAATTAAGCCAAGTGTGTGCTACCATGCCCAGATAATTTTGTTTTTACTTTTTTGTAGAGACAGGATCTTGCTGTGTTGCCCACGCTGGTCTCAAACTCCTCAGATCAAGTTATCCTCCCACCTTGACCTCCCAAAGTGCTGGGATTATACTCATGAGCCACTATGCTGGGCTTACCCCTAATTTTTTTTTTATTGATACATAGCTGTCATAAAATTCTTTGTACTTAGGTTTTTCCCTCTTTGCTATTGTTTTCATACAGTAGATTATCAGAAATAAAATCATTGAGACAACCTAAGGCTGTGGGACATTTATTAAAACAGCTGTCCCAGTCTCTTCAAAATGTCAATGTCATATGGGACAAAGGTGGGAGGATTGTTGTAGAATAAGAGACTAAGAAGACATAGCCAAAAGCAATGTTCAGGTTTTTACTGGATCTTGATTTGAAAAGAAGAAACAAACTATATTATTTAAATATGAAATTTGAATATGGAATGCATATTAGGTGATTTATGGAATTTTAATTTTGTTATGTGTGATAATGATATTAAGGTTATTTATTTAGGAAAATGTTCTCATTTTTAGGATTTGCATGCTAAAGTGTTAGTGAAGTATATCTACAACTCACTGTCAAAGCTTTCATACAAAAATACCTATCTATTATTCTATACGCACACATAGAAATATACATGAATTGAAAGTAGATAAAGCAAAAATGGCACTATGTTAACAATTTTGATTCTAAGTGTAGGGGATAAAAGCAATCCTTAAACTATTCTTTCAAGCTTTCAATTTATGCAACATTTTGTAAAATTTTTTTTATTTCAACATATTACGGGGGTACAAATGTTTAGGTTACGTATATTGCCCTTGCCCCACTCAAGTCAGAGCTTCAAGAATATCCATCCCACAGATGGTTTATGCAGCATTTTCTATAGTAAAAAGTTGGGAAATAAATGAGCTAAATCAAATGTTATTAATATTATTGATTTATTTCTAAATTATTCTCTAAAAGAATAAAGCACTGTTTTGAAAGGAATATTTTAATACCTTCACTGAAAAGTATGTAGTTCAATGAGTAAGTGGTCAGTTTACATATGAGTATTTTCATCCTTTGCCAATGCTGAGTGGTGTGACCTCAGGCAAACTCTCAAGGTCCCAGTTGTCTTATCTGTAAAATAGATGACAATAACAATGACTATTTGATAAGGTTGTTATAAAAATGGAATTTATATGATCTATAAACCCCTTAGCCAAGTGCATGGCAAATAGAAAGAATTCAAATCTAATCTTCTATTATTGTCATTACAAATTCCAAGTTCTTGCTTCATTCAATTAGAAAACCAATAGAAAAGCACCACACATTAAATCATCTCTATTATATTACATTCAAGTGCATTCTGTAACTGCAGGCCTATTGCAAGTCCTTAGGGAACCAAAACATTTAATATATCTGTAAGAATTACTTGTAATTAGTATGTAAATTGTTATAATGAGTTATTTTTTATGTAACTGAAAATATTTTTCTCTAGTGTTTAAACATTTTCTCTGGAAGTATGTCCTTGCAATTATTTTGCCTTAAGTTTCTAAATCATAGGCAACTTTATTTTGAATTATTATATGTCCAAATTAGTAGAGTCTAAATTGATGTCTTTTGGTGTATTGGGGAAAATTCAACTAATATCTTTTATGGGTAGAATTTCAAACTATGAATATTTTTAATTATTGTGTTCTTTTTTTTTATTTCAGAGTATTACAGGGCTACAATGTTTGAGTTAACATATATTGTCTTTGCCCTGCCTGAGTCAGAGCTACAAGCATGTCCATCCCACAGATGGTGTGCACTGCACCCATTAGGTGTGAATATACCCAGCCCCTCCTCCCCCCTCCCACCTGCCCAACATCCGATGAATGGTACTACTATATGTGCACATCAGTACATGAGTGGATTCATTGTTGTGTTCTTGATGTTCAAGGTACTAGTAGACCGATAATTTTTAGAAAGCAAATTAATTACTAGACAAAACTTATCTAGTGTTTGGAAAATAGAAATCTTAGGATCTTAAAAATGGCTACAAAAATGTTTCAGAGTAATTTATAAAAGTATAGGTACTTATTTTTCTGTGAAATGATTTCCATTTTATTAAGTCCAAAAGTGTTTCAGTTGTTACTGGTAATTTTTTAGAATGTTTCTTCTCAAAAATTATCCTTAATTTTTATTAGTAATAAATATTGCTCAATGTTTTGAGGTATTTAAAAAGACATCTAAAATTGTAAAAGATAATATGTTAAAAATGTTCTCCTAAAACTTAACGTTTTGTTTTTATTTAGTGTGTTATATGAGCAAGAAAATATCAAAATTTTTTCTCCTGGATGACAACTCGTGAAAATGAAAATATTGTAGTATGACTTAACATAGACACAGACTAAATTGAAATAAAAAGTGTAGCATAAAAATAATAGGCCTGTCTAAAGAAGAAAGACAATTATAATAAAATGAAAAAAACTCAGTTGTAGTTTGTGTTTTCCACAAATACCCAATGGGATAGAGCACTCTAATTATTCATCTTAGAAGAAACGGAAATATAAAGAACAAGAACCCATTAAAAGAACAAGGAAGGGCTAGATTTTTCAACTTGCCTATCTCTTTTTTCCCCCTTTATTCTCTCAAGAGGATGAATCAACCTGCATAACTCATAAAAACAGCTTCCTCTAACTTCTTCTGTCTCTTTGTGTGATATGTTCCATCCAGCTGCTGAAATAGACTGCCTTCTGGAAATTAAAACTCTCATGGCTCAGACCACAGCAGTAAATCTGGTGAAACAGATGGTCTTGGATGAATTGTTACACCTCTACATAAAACCTGGGATTTTATCAATAGGCTTTATCCTAAGTTATGGAAATCAAAGTGACAAATTAACAGCAAAACTTTCATGCTTATATCAAAACAACATGCTATGGCTTCTTTCATTGTATCCTTCTAATCAAGCCAGAATTATGCTGTAACTCAAATATTGGACATGCAAATGTACGTGCATTTATAGTCTTTTCTCTATTCAAGCACTGAGATATAATTAAATGAAAATTTGGTTTAACATCCCAGTTAGATTTTCCAGTGGAGTTTCAGGAATTATGTGTTGATGAGTTTTTGGTTTTTTATTTAAAGTTATTATTACTTCACATAAAAGAAGTTTTATTGGTTTGTGTATTCAACATAATTCAATATTTCTATTAGCTGTTTCATGGGGAAAAATAAGAGAACAGGGTGAGAAGACAAGAACTAGTGTCGTAGTACTATGAGTCTAACTCTTTGCTCTATCATGTCTGGTCTGGTGCTAATAACTGTTGTATGAAGCATTCACATACTCTTGCTTTCATGACTTCATTCAACGTATGTTGTTGCGTTTGTGATTTGTAAATCACTGAAAAGACAGGGGATTGGGCAAGACAGACATAGTTCTTATCTTTGTGGAGTTTTAATTCTAGCAGGGAAGATATGCAATAACAAATACCTGATTAATTATCTAATTACACTTGTAGTAAGGGATTAAAAAGCTCATAATAGGAGAACTTGACCTAGAGGGGTTGCATAGAGTGGGAAGCTTTCCAAAGTTGTTAAATGAATGCTTGCAGATTTGAATGTATCATCAATCAACCTGTGTCTTAAAGAATGAATAGGAGTTGGCCTGGAGATAGACGTGTGTATGGAGGGGGACCTGGGAAGGGAGGTGGAGCTGGGAGGAATCTGGTGACAGTAGAGTGATAAAGGAGAGAGTAGATTTCTCCTCATTATGGTTGAGGCACCCACAGTCATGCGGGTAAATATAACTGTGATTTGGACTTGGTTATGTCCAACCTCCAAGCTCTTTTTCATGCAATATGCCTTTTCCCTATTAGAGATCAAACCATGCTTCAATAATTGGTCTGGTCTTCATCTGCAGATTCTTTATTATGACATGTTTTTGCATTTTCATTTAGATACATTGCCATTTTGTTTATGAAAGTAGTTGCTGTTCGTGGGTTCAGCATCATTCTGCTTTGTTTTTCAGCGTTCCAACATTCCAGAGCCTTCCTGAAGAGATCCTCAGCAAGCTTGCTGATGTCCTTGAAGAGGTAATTGTTTTTAGCCTTTGAACTTTTTGAGACGGGATCCAGCCCTCTCTGCTGGCTTCTTTCACAGCTGTGTGATGAGGAGTCACAAACTGCAGAGAGAACTTTGACATCTTTTTTTTATGCTCTGGGATGAGGCACATATTTGGCTGCAAATAAAAAGCAATTTAGCACATTCAACATTTATACACAACTAAAAATGTGAAAATCAATTTACCTAAAGAGGGAGGAAAACTTTTTGTTGTGGTAAATATAATACTTCGTCTTACAAGAATGGAAGTAGCACATTTCTCTTATTTTAATTTGTGTAAAGTAAAATCATAGTTATTGCCACTCTGAACTGTCAGATTAGCAAATTTACAGCAAGAATTAGCAGTTGGATACATATTTTATTAGCATATGAGTATATTTTACACACAAAATTTTATGCCTGAATGTGGAATATCACTGTTAATCATTTTTCTCTGAACCCATAAAGCCATGGTTGGAGAAAGGAGAAATAATGCACATTGATGATGTAGGGAAGTTCAGACTTTCCCTTTGAAGGTTCTCAAGTCTAAGTCTGTTGAAATGAATTGACAATAGACAGACAGGAAAAAGTGGCATACAGTTTTAATAATGTGCATAAATCATAGGGCAATAGCAGAAGAATAAATACCCAATAACCCAATGAGGTACAGATGCGTGTATACCCTTCTTCCTGGGGGACTGAAAAGGGGGGAGTGTAAGGCAATTCTTTTGAGGAATAATAAATGATTATTAGGAGAATGAATGGCCCCGGAGACATAATTAAGTTGTAAATGATTCTCTTTGGAATTTGGATGAGCCTGAGAGGCAGACATTACCTCCTGCAAAAGTCTGTTCAGGTGTGGTTGTGTTCCTTAGTCTTCTTTTTTGGGATAGATAATGAGATTTCAGGGAGGAGATGGAATGCAATTGTGTTTTCTTTGGTGGGTCCAGTCTTTTTTTTTTTTTATTTCAGCATATCATGGGGGTGCAGATGCCTAGGTTACGCATGTTGCCCTTGCACCCCCTCCACCAAGTCCGAGTTTCAAATATGTCCATCCTTCGGGTGGTGCGCGTTGCACTTTCTTTCTTTCTTTCTTTTTTTTTTTTTATTATTCCAGGGTACTGTGAGGGTACAAACATTATAGTTACACTTTATGTCTTTGCCTCACTCAAGTGCGGGTTAAAGGCATGCCCTTCCGTCTCTTTACTGCTCCCCGTGTCCTTTAGTTGTAGATTTGCCCCCCCATCCCCCTAATCCCTAGAGAGTATTTCTGCCATGTGATCAACCTAGTGTTGATCAGTTAGTACCAATTTGATGGTGAGTACAAGTGGATCCCGTTCTTCTGCTCTTGTGGTGCCTGACTTTGGATAATGGGCTTAAGTTTAACCCAGGAAAGTATAAGAGGTGCTAGATCACTGTCGTTTCTTATGATTGAGCAATATTCCATTGTAAACATATACCAAATTTTAATAATCCACTCATGGATTGTTGGGAACTTGGGTTGTTTCCACAATCTTGCAATAGTGAATTGTGTTACCATAAACATTCGGGTGCAGATGTCTTTATCGTAGAATGTTTTGTGCTCTTTTGGGTAGATGCCTAATAGTGCGATTGCTGGATCGAATGGTATTTCTATTTTTAGCTCTCTGAGGTATCTCCAAATTCTTTTCCACAGAGGTTGCACTAATTTGCAGTCCCACCAGCAGTGTAAGAGTGTTCCTG